GTTGAAGGCGAATGATGAATTGAGAGAAGATGGGAAGAAGGATGGTGTGAAGGGTGGTGATAAGTCAGAAGGGAGACCCACTCGTGCTGCGGCCCTGGATGCGCGTTGGCGGGCTAGGCTTATGCTTGACCCATAACCTGGGTCAAGGAGGGGGGAATGTCGGGGAAAACTCCACGCACAGCAATTATTATTTTTGTATGGATGTAGTTAACAATATTTCATTCATTTAGTTTGAGCTTATCGGCTTTAGCTCTGACTCTAAGTATTTTCTTTACACATGACTTTAATGCACGTAATGCACGTAATAACCTCGTTTCAAGAGTCGTTAGGAAACTGACTCAAGATTCAAGCTTCACAGGTATTGAGTATTGGCGTCAATCTATTGTTAGAGAGATTTAACTTTTTATGTTTTGGTAAAATCTGATTGGTTTGACGAATTGTTTTTCTTAATTCCTATTGGTTACGCTATTTTTGTACTTATTGTAAAACATATATATGCACGTATGATTTAACTTAGAGTAGAGAGTTTGAGATTAGAGTTAACAGAATGGAAGTCTCAGAATTGAAATTTTTGATGTTGAACCTGGAAGATGTTTCTTTTTGAGCACAACTCTGAAATTAAATACGTATCTTGAACTAGCGCTTGAAGAATACTTAACAAGTATAAACGGAAGGCTGATCCGTACCAGTTTGGGATCAATCAGCCTTTGGGGCTACAAGTATCTTGATTGGATGTTGGCGGAGAATGAGGTGAACGAAAGAATGGATTTCAAACAGCAGACTATGCACATATCAAAGTTTTGGCGATTACAATGCAATAAAATTGCGCGAAAATCCTTTGGCATACATGGTCAAAACTTACTATGCAAGTTCTCTAGCCTTTTCTAGGCTTGATTTCCACTTGTATACAAACCAGGGCTCAATTCTAGGATATTCTGATACAAAATCGGTGCAAACGCAAATTATTTGGCCAAATAAAATTAAGTATATCAACAGGGCAACTTTAGAACAACGAATGTGATTCTCTTTAAACAGGCATAGTGTGGCATATTTAGACAATATAAACATTCGTTAGGAAAGGAAAAAGAAACACATCTTAATATAAATTTGTGCGTAGTCTCATCAGCTGTGTGGTAAAAAGCTCGACTCAGGTATATACACACGATAAAAAGCTCAAAAAACGCAGCCCTAAGAATGTTTCAATTTTTATAGATGATACTATATAGTGCTAGATGTCCTCATGTACCAGGAGTGGGAATGTCAACCATGGATGAAGAAATGACAGGTTCCTTTTTCTCCACTGCACAAATACAGAGGAACCTCACAATTACGATTTCCGCATGGACCAAGAATCATCCGTTTCTCACCCGGAAGCTTTCTTAAGTTTAGTTCATTTGCTAGTAGATGATCGAGCGCTGGGCTCTGGTTGGAGTCTTTATGTCTTGAAAGCACTAAGAATCTTTCAATGGGTTTGTAATATGCGCCTAGCTGAAGCACCCGCTACCAAAGGGAGATTGATTGTGCTAGAGACTCGACAGTAATTATTGTGAAGGATACAGAAAATATCTATTTGGGTCCAGGGCTCCAGGACACATGGTGAGAAGCCCTCACCATATTTGGCACTTCCAGCATCTCTTCACATTACGCCTTCTCATCGGCAGTATTAATTAGAGTTAGGAGCACGTGGCAGGGAAAGAGGTTCTTGAGCATACAGAATTACATATATATATACTACAATTTTATTCGAAGACAGGTCTCTCTCTATGGTATACATCTATACCCTGCCCACGTCACAACACTAATACCGAATTCCGTAAGAGAAACAGGACTCTCACAATCACGGACAACAGAACACAATATGAATTTCATGAGATGCCTATGCATGATTCTTTCACAAAATGGGTTAATTTACGACAGAGAAGCAACAATTTTCAGCTTGCTCGGTGATACAATGACAACAACAGTGAAACTTCAAGAGACAAATACATGTTCTTAAAACTTATTACTATAAAAGCAATTGCTAATCGTTTAACAGAAAGGACAGGCAAATAGGAAATATATGATGGTAGCAACTGCTCCACTATTCTTT